CACAGGAACCGCCCGCCCCCTCATGTTGGAAGTGTTGGAACCTAAGACTTCCGAAAGCTATTATGAGGACAACACTATAGAATTTAAATACGCAGAAAAAAAATATGACCGCTAATTTTAAAAAGGAAACTACGAACCTTCACCTTCACTCACTTCACTAATGGGAAGATCTACAACTTCGGTATGAAAGAATCATTGAAAAAACTGTCTGATCAGTACCAATTATGGGACTCCTTCCCTACTATGAAATTGTGGCTCACAAAATGCGTTTCGTTTAATTTAAGTTTTCTCCTTTAAATCCTGAAGTTTGTGAATGTGACATTTTCCTCAACATTAATCAACTAACCCGCGCTTAAAAGAACGAAAATGCGTTTCAGAAAGTCACGATTGCACTAGTAAAAATGTCAGAGACAGAGCGTGTCGAGCTTTAGATACGGCCATTAGCCCGTCACGTTTGTTGCATTTGTCTTAATGAGACGCGTTAGTGCAATTGAAAAAGTAATAATATCGATCAGGGAATGTAGTTACCCCGAGATAAAAATTCTCCCTCTTTTAGGTTAATGAAATTCCGAGTTTACGGTAATTCACTTTCCAGATTTATTACACTATTACAACGTCTAAATGCAATTTTCCGCTAAGCTTGGGGTTATATGCAATGCAACTCTCGGACTCGAGGTTAAAAGTTTCTAGAAATTTAAATTGTTTTCATTGTGGAAAATATACGGACGACGTTTAATATTAATCGACTGGTTTTTGAAATTCGTAGGTGCTTTTATTTACTTAAGTTATGATGAGTGTTTCATGGCAATTCGTAGGTACCCTTTAATTGCGTTTAGCAGATCTTCCAAACAGTTACTCAAATGACCCAAACTTCTAAAGTTGCTGATAATTAGTACGCCATTTACGTGTGTAATTAATTTATTACCTACTCGCTTTCATTTCATTAGTTCGATAGTTTGCCCCCGAAGTTTGAATAGAAGTTTAATGGGTCCATCAATCAAAACTGGATAGTGTTCCTGGCGTATCCGTAGATCAAGTTGATTTTTATTTCACAGCTCCTTCACAAATCAAATTTGTGCCCGAAATTATAAATGACCTCAATGCATGCATTCTATGTAGGGAAAGGCTCGGGACCAACTACTATTACGTGAGTATATTTGAGAGTAACTACCTAATTAAAATAATTGTTCAATGTATCAATCTCTTAATAAACATTCACCCCAAAAGATTCAATTTCGAAGAAGAATTTTACGAATATGATCGCTAAAACTGCTAGATCTGAGAAACCATCTCTTGTAGAACTGAAGTAAGTGGTGTTCAAGTCTAGTCACAATATATTTTCGATCTCGTAAGCAGAGTCAACATGTTGAAGGTGAAGCTGAACCAGACCTCTATAAATAAGATTGACTGCGATGCTCAATGGAAGATGGTCAAAGAGTAGTATAAGGGTCTATGTCTTCACTTTTCACACACTTGAAGGGCAAATCGAAGAAGAGTTGATGAACACAACCATTGATTGAAGCTACACCGTCCGAGGCTGGAGCATGCAAGCTTACAAACTAGGTACCTACCTGTTTGTAGAACACCCTAAATTTGACGGGAGTAGAACACAGGCTTGTATGGTGGGCGCAATTTAGAATAAACAATGAAATGCGGATTTCCCTTGCACGTAAAGGATTACAGTCAATTACACCACCATAATAATAATATCAGAATGTAATGGTAGGAGGGGAGAACGCCCGAATAAAAGCAATATTGAAGGTAGTGCTTCCACAGCTTCCGGATTGTTATTAAATGTGGTGGAGAAGGATTTTCGCATTTTTTTCTGATAAAAATCACGACTCTACCAAATGTTGAAGAGCAACAAAATTAATAACCTATGAACATAAATAAGTGATTGCGAAAAATGCGTGCTTCCGATGCATGAAAATAGCTCACCTCTCCAGGAAATGCCAGAAAAATTATTATTATTAAATCATGTGCTCATCCATCAATAAGCTGAAGTTATCGAAGGAAGATGGAAGTGGGGAAAAGTTCAGCAGAGGTATTAGCCGAATGTTTAAAACGCTCATTAATAAATGTAAGGAACCTCGGATTCAAAAGCTGAATCAATGGTGGTAAGGAAATTTATTTTACTGATAAACGAATATTTATTATATATTATTAGTTATAGACTAGAAACCAATTTCGAAAGAAAATTCATAGGGCTGTAACTTTTGAACTAGTAGCCCAATATTGGAACTGTTTGAAATTATGGATTCTACAGGTCACATTCATTAAGAAAATTTTTTTTCCGGATCGATCTGAGACAATTTTTTTTCGGGCCTCAAAAAAAGGCAGTGTATACTCTACCTTTTTTACCAAAAATGGACTGCACCAAAATTTCTCGGGAAAACACTTTTTCTTATTAACTTTGGTGCGTAGAATCCAAAACAATTCGTACTTTTTCGATCAGACTTCTCAATAAAAAGTAATAGACAAGAAACCAATTACGGAAGAAAATTCAAAGAGCTGTAACTTTTGAACTAGTAGCCCAATCTTGGAACTGTTTGAAATTATGGATTCTACAGGCCACATTCTATAAGAAAATTTCTTTTCCGGGTCGATCTGAGACAATTTTTTTTTCGGGGCTCAAAAAAAGGCAGTGTATAACCTTCCTTTTTTACCAAAAATCGACTACACCAAAATTTCTCGGAAAAACACTTTTTCTTATTAATTTTGGTGCGTAGAATCCAAAACAATTCGTACTTTTTCGATCAGACTTCTCAATCAAAAGTTATAGACAAGAAACCAATTTCGAAAGAAAATTCAAAGGGCTGTAACTTTTGAACTAGTAGCCCAATCTTGGAACTGTTTGAAATTATGGATTCTACAGGCCACATTCTATAAGGAAATTTTTTTTCTGGGTCGATCTGAGACAATTTTTTCTTCGGGGCTCAAAAAAAGGCAGTGTATATTGTATAACCTTCCTTTTTTACCAAAAATCGACTGCACCAAAATTTCTCGGGAAAACACTTTTTCTTATTAATTTTGGTGCGTAGAATCCAAAACAATTCTTACTTTTTCGATCAGACTTCTCAATCAAAAGTTATAGACTAGAAACCAATTTCGAAAGAAAATTCAAAGGGCTGTAACTTTTGAACTAGTAGCCCAATCTTGGAATTGTTTGAAATTATGGATTCTACAGGCCACATTCTATAAGAAAATTTTTTTTCCGGGTCGATCTGAGACAATTTTTTTTGCGGGCCTCAAAAAAGGCAGTGTATAACCTTCCTTTTTTACCAAAAATCGACTACACCAAAATTTCTCGGGAAAACACTTTTTCTTATTAATTTTTGTGCGTAGAATCCAAAACAATTCGTACTTTTTCGATCAGACTTCTCAATCAAAAGTTATAGACTAGAAACTAATTTCGAAAGAAAATTCAAAGGGCTGTAACTTTTGAACTAGTAGCCCAATCTTTGAACTGTTTGAAATTATGGATTCTACAGGCCACATTCTATAAGAAAATCTTTTACCTCCGAAACGGTTTTGCGCGATTTTCAATATCTTCTTTAGTTTGGAAAATATGGCCGACCGTCTTAAAATTGACACCCCGTGTGCAAAGTTAAGAAACCTTTATTATTGGAAAAATATTTTTAAAAATGTGGCATTATATGTTAGGAATTGCCATAAATGTCAAATAAATAAACCTAAACATCAGTAAGACAACCTTTAGCACTCACCACCACTACACCACATGCAAACCCTTCAATATTGTAATCTTAGATACAATTGGTCCATTTCATAAATCAGAGAGAGGAAATAAATATGCCATAACTCTCACTTGTGAGTTAACTAACTTCCTTGTGACTACTTATACAGTTGCAATAGCAATATATAATAATTTTATTTTGATTTTTGAAACAACGAAAGAACAGATTTAGAATCTGAATTCTTTCCGAGGTATTTAAATTACTTGACATAGATCATAAAACTTCTACAGAAATGAAACAGTAGGGACAATTGAACGAAATTATCGTGTTCTTAACGAATACTTGAGATCTTGTTCAGATTAAATGCTATATCAATGGGATGAATACTTAGGATATTTCACCTATTGCCATAATACTACACTTGGCACATCAATTAATAACTATACTATACTCCATTTGAACTAATTTTTGGTAAACAAACATCATTATTTTGATTTTCTTAAATGTAATTCGATTGAGCCTATTTATAATGTAGACATTTGCGAAAGAAAATTACAATTAGTTCATAAGAGAGTTCAGATTATTTCAATTTCAATAAATTAAAAGCCAAAATGTATTATGACAATAAGATTAACAAAATTTGTTTAAACATCGATAATAAAGTGTTGCTAGTAAATGATAGCAGCAATGTATAAAGGTCCATACCTCGATCCATACATTGTTAAAGAAATTCACGACCACAAAGTTTTAATTTTTAATCCATGTGACAATAATGCTACTTTAGTTTATAAGAATAGTATTAGGAAATATTTTGTATAAAAATAATTTGAGGAATCTACTATTATGGATTTAGTAGTATTGTAAAGGCTAGGAATATAATATTAGATAATATTTAATCAATAACGTTATTGTTTAAAGAGGACGGGGTGAATGGCCAGTCCTCTCTCCACAAAATGAAAAAAAAAGTATTATTAATTATCTTTAAGTACAGTTATGTAAACACCCTGTATAGTCCAATATGTAATTTAGTTGTAGATATTCCGTTAATTATCTATCATTGCTCAAATAACGTTAACGTTAACTATTTTTGGGCCCTTTGAGCAGCTTATTGCTAAAAAGGAGGTAGTTCGTACAGAACCAGTGGTTTTAACAGTTCAAGAAACAAGACTCTTTAAAACAAGTCGAGGAAACCGGAAACAAGCATATAATAATGCGCATTAAAGGTTCGGTCTGGAACCACTTCAAGGTTTTGATCTTAGGCATGTATAAACTCTCAGTTTTGGTACTTCATTTCTGAACACTTACCTGTAAGGATAGCAGAACGGCTCGAGCGTAGGCGAAAATGATAGCAGTTGATCCCGTCGTAGGTCCTGCTATGGTGAGTACATAGGTGACTCCCAGTAGAGGTTTCAAAACTAGCAGAGCTTTCGCCGCCTTTCTGTACTGCTGCGTTTCCAACGTGTTCGCCGATCGCAACTTCGTAATTAGCACCCACATAATGGCGATTAGAAAGAAAGAATTTAGCGCAAGCACTAACGTTATCGGCGCCTGAAAAATCCAGTCAACCGTGTGCGGCTTAATCCAAGGGCACGTTTTCCAAAGGTTCTGCATATCGATATCCAACAGGTGATCCTAAAACAAACGCCGCAATCTTAATTAAACACGCATGCCCCGTGTAATCGTAATTAAAGTACAAAGCGCCGCTGCCGTCATTCAAATCGTGCAAGATAATCACCTACCCAACTGTCGGTTTCGATGAAGCTCTTCGTTATCGCCCAAATTAAAACGAAGACGAACGGCAGCCCTAAAAGGTGACAACCTTACGAATTTCCCTCGCGAAATTTGCTTACCCCAACCAATTGTTGCGTAGATTCTTAATTTGAAATTTTCCCTCGTTAATGTTTCCACCACCAGAATGTATAGATACAATCCTGAAACAAAACATATCCATTAAGGTAGGTCATTAATTAATTTAGAGTTGACATAAACTTAAATCTTTACACAGCATTCGGTAGCGATGACTTTTTTAATTACACGAAAAAGAGTTTAATTACTTAGTTATGTACCCAGGCTAAATCAATACGTGTTATGTTTGGACAGAGTGCCGCGTTTTTTCACAGATGTAACCGTTCGATGTAGAATGGACGTTATAAATGAGAAATCAATCGTGCTCATCATTCTACTGTTGCTTCTAAATACAATCATTTATTATTTTGGTTACTCTACCCCGAATGTCATCACTTAAAAGGCAACAAACATTTTGTTAAATCGAGATCCACTTCGAGGAGGATCGCTTTTTTGAAAACTTGTACATCTACTAAGTACTTATAATTTCACTGTCATAATAGGTAGTTTTTCAAATACAGAGAATTTCCCCTGAATCCGAATAAATTGTTACCACGAAAGCTTTGGGGTCCAAGGTGCAAAACGTTCATTGCGGATATACTTGATTTGGAGCAGTTAGTCGATTAAAAAACAAATTTGTCAATCAAAGCTATGCACCTCTTTTGAGTCTACGGAGTGTTATTAAATGGACATTAAAGGGAAACTGGTAAAAAAGTTTAAATACAATTAATTCGTGTTTTTGCTAGCTGTTAAACCTTAAGTTAAAGGGTAGACTTTGGACATTTCCCTACTGCAGTTAATTATTAATACAATGAATAAATAAAAGTTTTATTAAACTTCGAGAAACCTGAATGAAGCCCATATTGCTTCAGATTTAAATTGTCATAAATCTTTCGAAATTCATTTTCAACAAATAACCAAATTTTAACTGGCGATACAAAAGGTCCGGTTATATTGTACAAGGCGTTCACAAATTGCTGCGGCCCTTCCGAAGGAGAAAATCAACTGTCAATTGGAGAAAATGTTGACTCAGACATAAATGCTATTTTGAATTTTTTGCATTGTGCAACCGTAGAAGTCGATTTTTTGGAGAATTTTGTATGAAGGATTTATGCTTAAAGTGATTTTAATATTCCTGAAGAGGTCAACCCACGGGAGTTTATCCCGTGAACAAATTTGTGTTTTTTTATGAATGATCAGCGAACCCAAACCAAAGATTTTGGTGATTCTCTTTTTGCTTAAATGTGAAGTTAATTTTTATTTTTATTTTTTTTATTTATTTATTGTCCCTCTTGTTCTAGGCCCTCAACAGGCTTACGCCCAATTACAGAGTGACCCGCATAATGCTTTTTAGAGGTGCCCCTGCAGAAGGTCTTAAGTTGTTCTATACTATTCCGGTATTTACCTTACAAATTAGGAAAACTGCAGGAAAACCTAATTCGGAGTAGCCGGCAGAATGCTCGAAACTGATCTAAGGAAATTCCCATCTCTGCCACAGATGAAAAATTCACCTCAAACCAGGTTCAAACACCCGACCTCCGGATTTATACCCCAACGCTCTATACCACTGAGCTATAATGCCGGCAATTTTAAATTCATTAATACCATTCTCTTGTGTGGTTATAATTTCATGTAACATCCAGAGGCGTGTAAATGTGTTTTTTGGTGTTGGAGCAATTACAGTTAGTAAAAGAAATCTAGATAATTAACTAGATTTAGACGTGCCCACGAGATAGAGAAACTTTTACAAAAACTGGAGTTGGAACGAGACTATTTTCAGCAATATATTCAAAACAAGTCAATTTATATGATTATTTATTTGAGAGTGATCAAACCAGAGAATCAGGTTTTAATTTTCTAGATGATAAGTGGAGACAAAGAACCAACCTGTCGAAAGGTAAGAGTCATTGAAATTATCGCAAAGCTACCCGTGTATTAATTATTTTTGAAAAAAACAGCCAGCCTCGTTCAAATGTAAACTTGTGGAAGAAAAAAGTGTTCAAAAAAATTTAAGTCGTTGTGGGTAAAAGTGAATGTTTAAGTCGCATTAAACACATGAAATTTACGAAATAAGTAGTCGGGGTGTTGTTTTTATCTAGCAGTTACGCCTATTGTGAAGCCTTTTTCTGTATCCGTTATAATGAGCTTTTCCACCATCTGTAATTAAAAAAAAACTGGTGTCGAAGATTAAATATAGATTTAAGAACAAATAAAAAAAGTTCAGTTCTCGTCTGGTTATTGTGTGTTTCTGCATCAGTTAAAGACAATTGTAATTGACCGGATTTTAAGAACTATTAACACTTTAAGGTAATTGTTTCAATTGATCGCTTATTGCGTGGTATTTGTCCTTTGGCCCAGAGTGCCTATTTTCTTTCAGCTTTTATAATTTTATCGAATAAATTTTGTTTCATCTGTAAATGACCTTTTGTTTTTGAATCAAAGTAGCCTGATAAAATGAAGACAGTTTACTTTTGACAAATGTTTAGAATTCTGCAAAAAAACACCCTGTGTATTAATTAATTTGGTTCATTTTTTGCATATCTTAGTTTTTAGATTATGTAGGAGCGATTCTCAGAACATGAAGATCAAAATTTAATGAATTTAAATAAACGATGGCACACGTGCAAAGCGCGATGTAAATAAGTGCTCGCATTTCCTAGGCCCTTGTGATGGAGATAGTCTGGACTAAAAAAAGATGGTCTCGGTTCATTTGACTTAGCGTACGTAACAGTCCGGTACGTGTAAATTCAAATACGATTTTTCCGGTAGTCAGCCGATGTTTCAAAGTCTTGTTTGTCAGTTAAATAAAGAAGAAGTAATACAAATTTAGTGTTTACGCAATTAGACAAGTTCTAGAAGAGGAGATGATTTTTTAGTTTAAAAGTTGTGTCTATTAAAATTAAAGTTTAACCCGAGCTGCAAATTCAACAATGTCAATCTTCGAGGAACCAGTGTTGGTGATTTAAAAAAAAGGAAGAAAGTTTGTGTACACGATTCTGCCTTTATTTTAAAATAATAGGCACTTTGAGCTTTTGTTTTGTAGATAAATGTTTATATTATTTTTATATGCAATTGTATTATAATAATGTGTGTATTATAATGCAGATTTATTTTGTTGGCGATTTGAATTCCAGTAAAAATAAAGATATTCCAGATAACATTTGCTTTTGTTGTTCAGTATGCTAATTTCCAGTATAAGTCAAAATGTTTATTATAGCTAGGTATTATTGTTTCATTTGAATTACGGAAGTCAGGAACTTCAAGATTTTGATAAGCCAATGTTGAGATTTTCCAGCGTTTCGGAACCCAGCTGGACCCTGAGATTCAATTTTTATTCGATTAATAAAAATAAAGTTTAAGTACTTTAAGATGGTAATTACAAGGTTTAATTTGTGTAATTTTGAGCTAGCTAGGTAAGTGTTATTTGAGTGGTGTAATGAACTCGTTCCATTACACACAGCAATATCTACGTAATCGTTAATACGTAGCCGCTTCTAGCGTTAGCTTAAAGACGTAGGTAAACCCTCTCCGCATAATGAGCTTAGGTATCTTCGAGAAGGCACGAGAGCCGCTATATTTAATGGGTATCAACAGGTAGGGAATGAAATGAAAACTTCAATTTTCCAAAAGATAACGTTTGCTCTCGCTTCCGAAAATAATTAATGTGATCGGATTAACTAAAGGTGGATTTTGGCGAAAACATCTGCAATTGAAAGTGACGACATTGTGGAAAGACATACAAAAATTGGTTTACTGATTAAATCCCCTTCACAAAATTTGACGGACGTAATGAAGGTAGGTAACCCGTAATTATACAGAAATGAAATCGCGGTCTACACAGAGAAAATGGAAATCAAATATAATGTGACATACGGACATTAATTATATATTGAAAAGTGTACTTGATTTAGTAAAAGCAAAGTCGAGAATCTCAACGATTAGTAATCAAAAACTTAACCGCGACCTGCGACAAGACAAGGGTTACCTCGAGGGTTATCGTTGACTAATGCTTAAATGAATAAATATAAACGAAACCATTTTAAGCTAATCCAACTCTCTCGCTCTTCAGATTCAGGTGCTTAAGATTTCCTTTTGAAGCCAATACCTACAGTTTTTATAAAGCTGCTTAAGAAAGCATGCCTATTAATAATGCATCCTCGGCGAAATCTTCCGTGAATATTAAATGTTTTCCTTTCTTGTTGAATTTAATGATCCACTTCGCGAGTCGAGAAAGCTCATATAGCCCCAGGTTGAGTAGTAATTTTCTAATTTTAATATTCTTTCGTGCGCTTCCATGAAAGTTCTAATAAAAGATGTACAACCCTTTTTTTAGCATCAGCAGATCGCCTCCAGTAAAATTCTCGCTTTTATTCGCAACTGTTACTGTCCCTTGTGAATTGAAAATTTTTTCAGATCTGCAGTCGAGTAGGTACAAGTAGAATGACGCTTTTAGTTAGGGGGTTACTGCAATGTAAAATGGCACGAGGTTTTTGCCATTAACAGCGGTCTGATTATAACTGTTGTATTTTATCTGTTATATAGGTGTGGAAAATACTTACACAACAACAATAGAAGAAACACTGCGCATAATGCCTCTATAAACAAAGGCAAGTTTGTAATTACTCGATGTCTATCGCAGCAAATATAAAACAAGGGGTTCATCTTCTACTTACTAATTGCAAAGTGCAAGAGCCCAAGCAATTTGCAACAATGCCAAATGACAATGCCGACTCAATTCAATGGTTTGTGTTATTATTATTAGATAATATATATCCTAAACTATTTTTCCAATCGTATATTGCAATAGCACCTTCCGGCATCATCTCCTTGAATAAAATAAAACTGAAAAACATTTGTTCCCATTTTCCTCGGCGTAAAAGCAGCAAATCCAATATACAAACGAGTTGAGTGTATTTCAACAAATACCTATTGATAGCAGGTGTCCTTATTTCACGGAGAAGTGTTCTTTAGAAATCGACCGAATTGCTATAAAAATCTAACGTAGAAGGCAATTCGCCCCGTTGTGCCACAAAACAACCGTAACTATTACTTGAGGTAGACAAAATAGTCTAGCTCTAAAAGAAAGGGGTGGTTTAGAGTTTGTTAAATGTACTTTGTAATAATGTTTTAACAGGAATGTCAAGAAGAGCGAGTTGTATTTGGAGGTATTGAGATTTATACTCAATGGTAGGTGTCTCGGAAATAGTAAAAACTTGGGACATTCCTTAGAAAACGTGGACACAATTTTATGACAGTAAAACAATAATTATTGAAAATGTAATGAGGATCATTGAATAATTTGTTATATTCTCACGCTCAAACCCATATTATCACGCAATGTTAGAAGAAAAAATAAAAAAGAAAAAGCTTGGCTGGAAAAATGCTTTAAAAATAACAAAATATATCTACGTTTAGCTCGTGTCAAATCGAAGTGAGATGGTTTTTCAAAAGCATATGCAATATCTGGCCTTGTATCATTGCTATTGAAAATATTCTGTTTAACACTGTTCAATATGCAGATGATCTTTGCGTTTACACCGAAACAAATCAGAATGAACTTGGGATAAATCATTTAGAAAAAATTTATAAAAAGTTTCTTACATGGTTTCAAGAGAATGGATTGGATATGTCATCTAATAAATCTAGCATTTGTGTGTTTACTCGACACAATACACCTAATATTAACATCTTACATTTTAATAATCAACAATTTTCTTTTTGCAAATCAATAAAATATTTAGGAATGGTCCTTGACAAGAAGTTAACTTGGAAACTACATATTGAATATATGTTAAACAGGTGCAATAAAGGACTAAATTTCATGAAATCTATCTCCAAAACCTGGTGGGGAGCAGATGTCGCCAGCTCTTTCTTATTTTATCGACCTTACATTAGATCAATCTTAGATTATGGATGCATACTTTATGGGTCGGCAAGTAAACACCTATTGAATAAAATTAAAATTTTTGTAAGCATTGTTCTGCGAATTTGTTTAGGTGCAATGAAATCCACCCCTATCACACCACTGTATGTAGAGGCCCTCGAATCACAACTAGATTTAAGAAGAGAATATCTAAGCTCGAAATTTCTTATTAAAATTCAATGCCAAAACCCGACATTGTACAATAGTATTTGTTACCTTAATGAACAAGATTTATCAAACAAATTTTGGGTACATAAGAACTCTCCACCGCTTTGCTCGGCTTTTCGTTCTATTAATGAGGAAGGTATTTCGGTAAACCACACAAATACCTGGCAACTGGGAGACTATTTCTCCTTTTTCAAAAATGTTAACGTTACTGAACCCAATTATTCTGAAAACCCTAAAATATTTTAAAATCCATTCTAGATAATTGGCCTTTATCTATTACCATATATACAGACGGATCCAAAGACGAGTTAGGGACTGGCTGTGCTTTCTATATCCCTACTTCACAGACGGAGAAATCTTTTCAGCTCCCTAGTAACTTTTCCATTTTTAGCGCAGAGGCAATAGCTATATATGAAGGATTGAAATATTTTCAAACCTAGATGAAAGGTCAGCTGTCATAGCATCCGACTCTCTATCTGTGCTAAATAGCGTACAAAGTACAAGACTCCTTTGTAATAACTCTTAATGAGTACATATTCCAAATAAAAAGAATGATAAATGAATTATTTAATGAAGAAAGAAATACACTTCTTATGGGTTAAAGCCCATATAGGACTTAAAGATAACGAACATGTAGATCAACTAGCAAAAAAAGCTATTACGCAAGGTTCCAAAACGGACTATAAACTTTGTATTCCCGATGTTTACGCATACTTAAAAAAGAAAAATAAAGAGAGCTGTAAAAGTTCTTGGAATAACTTCCGTGCCACTTCCAGTACGCAATATTCCATAATACAACTTGATGTCCCAAACGAGTACTGGTTCAAAAATATACAGGTTCCCCGGAAGTATATAACGACTATTATTAGAATGAGGTTTGGGCGTAGCACCATCTGTTATGAGGTACATCTGCCTGCCTATACGGAGAGTCAAATTCTGAATTTGATTGTTCAATTTTGTTTTACCTACATCGCAATCCGAAACCAAATTACTAATGGGGTACGTAAGTTTGAATTAATTGGAATTAGGTCTGATTTTGGCATTGTAGTTTTTGGTGTATCTTCCGTGTAACGAGCATTAACCATTCATGTCGACTTACAATGAATTATAATTCCTGGTTCCCCCCTTAAATATCTTTTGAAATATTTATCACAGCGGAAAAGTGTATAGAATCTTTTGGGAGAATAATTTTACGTTTTAGCTATGGGCGACCGTTTACAGGTTCACCCGCATCTATTGGTACTGTTAGTATGTCTTTTAAGACACCTTCACCTACAACTATACCAAAATTCGCTTTTACACGAATTATTTCCCCTGTTTGGAAGTTTTTTTTACTGATAACAATACTGGTGTTATACTAAAGAGTTTCTGGTACAGATTCCGAATATCTATTTCTTTAACCTCGACTCATGACATATTCCCTTAAAACCAAGCATGTTGGGGCATTGTATACATAATAGTAGATACAAAAGTAAGACATAGGTTTCAAGTCATTTTGCTAGGGGAGATGGACCTTTTAGTTTTTAAATTTCTCGAAAGGCGCACAAAACATTAGATTGGCGCATAAGTCAGCACAAAACAAGAAGAAAATTATGTTGTTTATATCATCTCGATACCATGATAGTGTGTAGCATGAAAGTGGAGCCCCAAATGAACATTTTGATCTTATCTGAAACCGAAGGCGCACAATCAGCACAAAATAGACACAAACACATTGACATTGGTTTCAGGTCCGATTGTGAGAGGTGTTGCGTTAAGTTGGCACCCCCTTTAGAAACGTTGAATTACTTCGAAAGGAATGGCGCACAAAATTTGAGTATTGGCGCACAAAACATGGGGATACGAGAATGATGGGGTTCTTAGTTGGATCTCGGGATACGAGGAGCGACCGTGCCGGTTTGTACCCATATCCGCTGTCGGTTTCCAAAGTCTCAAAGCCTCTAGTTGATCGTATAATGTGTGTGAAATGGGTCAAAAGTCGATCCTCAAGAAAGGAACAACTTCCGTAACTATTTAGCGTCATAGTTAATAACAATTTTGCCCCTTTAGCAATTACATTCAAGGAATTTGTGAACATCAGTGCCTATATTCACTGCCTTTGCCCCCCCGGTTAGTTATGCTCGAGTTTGAAACGCGAATGTTGTTGGAAACAGCTACTTCCGTCTGAAAAGGTTGGCCATTTAAGTACTGTACCTGGTATAGAAGCAGATTACGAGTAGAGCGAGGCCCTTCAGGCATTAATCAACTGGTTATATACCGAGCCCTGCGGCTTAGGAAGTTTCTTTTGCTTTATTGCAGGTTTTGGATACGAGAAGTGAGCTCACTTCATGGCATCAAGTCAACATTTAATTTAATTTAATTCGAGGTAAGAGTTGCCTTATATGTTTTACTGGTACTATGCGACCAAAAATAAGTTACTGTCGAGTCACCTTTGGAATTTTTGTTTACATGGGAAATCGTACTTAACTTGAACTTCCAAATGCGACTCGACAGCAGCTCATTTTTGATCGCCCGTTTACTTGATTGGGGATTTGTTAAACTGGAGAGTTTTAATTGTATAGTGAACTGACTAAGAGTTGTGAGTAACGTAATTCGTAATTTTGAGTATTTGGGGGAGTGTTTTGTATGTGTGCCATTTGGTGTTTCTTTTGTTACCTAAATTGATTTTTATTGTTATTACTTTCCTCGCATCTTCTCAATTTCATACGGGGACAGTTCAGACAGAAATTGAGTGGCGTCAACAATTGGTAAGTGCTACGAAGTTAGGAAGATTATATGCCCAGAACGAACTACCGCTGTGGAAGATCTCAAGCTCTCATTTTGTGTTCCAACCCCTAGTTTGCCGTTTATGCGGCGGGTTTTTTTCTATTTCGATTGAAATTTTGATCATCTACATCAAAGTTTCCCGAATCTCTGAAATATTGGGTAAAAAGGTTCAAAATGTTTGTATTTGCCTTATCTCAGACCATTTTAGAACACATTTTCAATGTACAATGTGTTTACATTAATATCCTACATTCTTTTGCATATGAAAAACCCATGCATTGACCGGTTTTCAACCTCTGTGCAAATTAAACGTTCCTATACTTGTTTATTACATGAAAATACATTTTCCTTCAAGTTGTTCTTTGTTTCGTCCATAGTATTATAGCAGTAAGGTCGAAAAATCTGCACTTAGCGGAGAAGAAAATGTTGCGGGTACAAATATGCGGATGTGAACTTTTCGGGTGTCAATTTTTCGGAAAAAATTTTTTGGATGCAAATTATCTGGGTACGAAATTTATTATGGTCAAATTTGATTGTCTAATTCTTGTCATATTTCAGTTAAAATCTTGTAACTAATTATTTGTTAAAATCCGTTTTCAATTCCATGAATGTTTATATGCTTAAATCCGTTTTTAAGCTCACTATTTAACTTTTTCATGGCATATTTTCAGACGAACTAATTACTAATATGAAAGTCATTTATATGCTAATTTATATCCTAACTCCTCACTCTTTAATCACAAGAAGCACAAAACTAAACATTCAAAATAATTGTGGTACAAATTAATCATGGATGCGTATGTACGTACGAGTCCTCTTATTCTAAGCTAACTGAACGCGTGAATGTAATAACATACTCTTACCTTCTACAAACATCCAAAAAAATGTTGTAACGTGAAAATAGTGTAACAAAAAGACAAGGATTACGCACAAAACCATATCAGTCTGGAACGTTTGCTGCAAATAGAAGCATTCGCTGGACGATTAATGGATAATCAAAGTGGGATACTCACCTCTACAATTAAAGTAACAATCCATAACGCGTAAACGAGAATGTAGGCGCACATTAAATTCGTATGTATTGTATTTCGTAAGCATCTTAAATCTCTGGAACAAATTAAAGGATCACAAATTATACAGCGAAGTAATCTAAGTGTGTATAATAAGCGTATTCTTTATAGTGCCTTTGTGGATCGTCAGGAGAGTAAAGTTAAAAAAAACTTTGTAGATAACATCACTTAAATTACTTCCATTGTTCGCGAAGTTTGTGAAGATAAAGTGAAGGAAACTTACTTGAAATATATAAAAATTCCTATTGCAATCGAGAGAGCCACTAAGCTGAGGGTATAGCCGACAAAGTAAATTGTACTAGTTGTAAAGAAATTTTCCTCCGTAGGTTCCTCGGTGATATCCCAGCAGAAGCTATAATCGCTTTTAGACCACGTACCATTCCACAAACATTCTCTGCTTGCATTTTCTGTAAACAACGAAAACATTAGATTTATCTTTGCGAAGTGTATTTTTTCTATGTAGTAGTTTATCAGTATTATTTGCGTCGCGTCTACCTTAATAAGGTTTCGGCTCTTTGTCACATGTTCACAAAAAGAAGACGAAGGAGATGACATCAATCATGGTTTAAAATAGAAGAGCTCGAGGTGACTTGAATTGTAATTTTTTCGTCACGGTATCGCAAAAAGCTTGATGTAGGTACATGAAATTTTAAGTTGGATTGCCCTTCCAACTTCTGCCATAAATTGGCCATTCAACAAATTGCTACGAAACAATATAATGTGTTTTACGTCCATAATTTTAACAAACAATATACTAAATCACGCAAAGTTTGTACTATTCAGAATTTTTTACCTAAAGGATATAACTACAATTGGGGCACCAGTTTAGAACGTAATTCTTTCTTGTAGGTAGGGTAAACTTTGTAAATGCAGAAACCAGCTGTCTTTATTGTACCGTAGAGAAGATATTGTTACAAAGAATCTTTTAATTTTATCACTTCAGAAGACAAATTACAAAGTAATGAATCCCTAAGTGGGCTAAGAGCGGCTTATGAAAAAATTGAGATACGTTTAGAGAGAGTATGTAGGAAATTTGAGAATAACGTGAGGATTCAAGAGAAAATTTGTGGGGACTTTATTGGACTTCAAGGAAACTCGAGGAAAACTAGATAGAGAAACTTGATGGGAATTTGAGAGAAATCAATATACAGAAGCGCCAATAAGACAGAGTAGAACAATTGTTCGCGTATCAATTCCATCTAATTCTAATTACGCAAAAAAATCTGTTTCGCTTTTGTTTCCCAAAATAAGGGGCTTTCGTGTTTTTTTTGTCTCGAAAAACTTATATCATAAATTTAATGAAAAGCTATTTATGTCAATATATATTGAACATACTGCTGTGTAAACAACGTTATGTAGATTTTATTTCCTGTATATGAGAGTATTTCCATTTTATTAGGTGTAAATCCGGGGGGGGTTATTTACGAATAAGTACAGAGTTGGTTTGTTTTATTTGAATTAGTATTTCAGAATTGTGTCTAATTTTCTTGTTTAAATTTGATCGCTTTTGCAATTTAATCAATTTAGATCAATAAGAAGCTGTGATTATCTAGTCTAATTGTGATTGGCGGTGTTTTTGAAAATGTTGGTGGAAGTGGAGTTTCCTTAAATACTGGATTTAACGTAAAACGAGGCTGCTACTGTTGCTAGTGTCGCGACGGTTGTAGAGCTTGTATTGTTGACCCTACTTATTTTGTAATCTTAAAAAAAGATTGAAGTTATGGCCAAGTGAAGTAGTAAAAGTTTTCAAAACAGTTTGACTGTATTCAGAAAAACTTAATTCGAGTGAGAGTAAACAAAGCAGCAAAATTTAAAAGTTTCCACCGTCCAAGCAGCCACCGGAAATCTTATTTATCAAGTCAGTACGAGTCATTGAGGTCCAGGGTTACAGCCCTTTGAATTTTCTTTCGAAATTGGTTTTTAGTCCATATCTTTTGATTGCGAAGTCTAATCGAAAGTGGATTCTACGCACCAAAATTAATAAGAAAAAGTGTTTTCCCGAGAAATTTTGGTGTAGTCGATTTTTGATAAAAAAGGAAGGTTATAATACACTGCCTTTTTTTGAAGCCCCAAAAAAAATTGTCTCAGATCGACCGGAAAAAACATTTTCTTATAGAATATGGCCTGTAGATTCTCTAATTTCAAACAGTTCCAAGATTGGGCTACTAGATCAAAAGTTATAGCCCTTTGAATTTTCATTCGAAATTGGTTTTTAGTCCATAAAAAATTGTCTCAGATCGACCGGGAAAAAAACATTTTCTTATAGAATCTACAAGATTCCATAATTTCAAACAGTTCCAAGATTGGTCTACTAGATCAAAAGTTACAGCCCTGTTGAGGTCAGTTTAATAAAAAAAGTGAAATTTTCTCTCGGCGAGTGTTTTTGTGCCTTTGATAAGTGCACTTGAATATCGAATATCGCAAACTTTTTACCACCATACGATTTTGACTATTAGAAAAAAAACTACCTGTAATTTTAAGAGCTTTGTTTTAATTTGTTATGTGTTTCGGAATAAATTTTTGTCATTATCAATCAATTGTGTGTTTATTCGAATCCATTGTGCGGCTCAGATGGAGTTTTTCAGATCAGATTGTTCTATTCGCCCCCAAGATTTACTTCTGGACGGCTATTGCTGAGTTCATAGGAACGCAATCAGTGAGCGAAAGGGGTTGGAAGTTCTCTCCCAAAAAACCTATTCATGAAATTTTTACAAGTTTTGAGACGTATTTAAAAGACAGAAAGGATACAGAATTTAGAACATAATTCTTTCTTGTACGTAGAACAAAAGTAGGTGGAAAATGCGTAAAATCTGCAATAATATATCGTTACAAAGAATCTTTTAATTTTGGATCAGAATCACTTTACAGGGAAAATTACGAAATAATGATTTTCTAAGTGGGATTAACATAACAAGAACAATTTAAAAACAAATTACATGTCTTTCAATCGTTAATTTGAGACGATAGGATCTTGTTGCGCTTCTCAATTTACCAATCACATTTCATCACAACATATTTCCCTGATGTATAAAATTGAGAGTGGCTTATGAGAAAATTGAGATACTGTTAGGGGGGTATAAAGGGAATTTGAATGGAACGTGAGGACTCAAGAAAAAATTTGTGGGGACTTCAAGGAAACTCGAGGGGAGCTTAAAAAGCAACTTGATTGGAATTTGAAAGAAATCAATACACCTAAGCTCCAATGAGCCGAGACCTCGGGCAGGATCGAACAGTTGTCCACGTATCAATTCTTAGTAAGTCGAAAAGCGTAACTTGAGGAGTGTATACGTAGTTTCGTTTATTTACATCGCTCTAGAGGATTCGTATTGCGGTCGACAGACCTTATCAGATCGGCTAGGTGCATTCTAACTTCTAGTGGTTTATATTATCCCACATCAGAAAAATGCCCGTAAAAAAAAATTAAACTGATGCTGAGAAAAATTAGATAGTATATGTGAAGTAAATTGCTGATCAAAAATGGCACCACACAGAGTACCTACCCGGGATCGAATGGGGTTGCTTGGGTAACTTTTTTATTATTGAAACAAACAATAAAGTTTGATGTAAAACTGTCTCATTTCGAAACGACAAACTCAAAAATGGTGTTAAAATACGATTCCAAACGGTGATTACTGAGATATGGAAATCAATTGTCTTTTAGAAATGGATGCAATATTGAATTTTGAGTTTTTTTGATTTCTTTTTAACTGGGTAAGATGTAACAAGAATACTAGTAAAATTTAAAAAAATGATTTTGCAATTTATTTCTTAATAAAGTAGCCTAAACTAATTTCTTTGATCATTTTTCTTTGATCAATCATAAGTTATCTTTTACCATTAAACATTAATCAATCACCATTCTATAATAAATCCAAGCGGTACCCCTGAGCAATTAAACGCCGAAAACAGCATTAAAAAAATCTCTCGATCAAATAAAAGCAAATTACAATTGATCAGAATAATGAAGATCATGGACAAGATCTTAGAAGAAAACTCTCTTAAGAAGAGCCATGAGGGGCTAAGAAGAGGCAAGCAGTAGCATACAAGGTTGTAAGCCAATCAAAAGCAGTTATGAGTGGATATACAAGACAAAAAAGCACAGATTCACAGATTAAAAGCAGGAGCTAACCTTACCCCACTTGAAAAAAGACGGGAACCGCGGTCAAGCACAAACGGTGAAAACTTATCCAAAAAACTACAAGATTATTTTAAACGACAGATAGTAACGGCATTTACCGATTTAAAAGAAACCATCAAAGCCCAAGAAGTTTGAATTAATAGATGTGAGGTGAAAATCATGTTTTAAATAATAGAGAAGTATAATAAGATTTAAAAGAACACGTAGATCAAGTAGAAAAGGAAGAAGTATCCAAGCCAGTAGAGAGAAACTAAGGAAAAAAACAATGAGGAAGAAAATAGAAGAAATTACAGACGGAGTTCCTTGGTAGAACCATTTATAAACGAATAGTATGGCAATCTTATGGGAGAATAGAGCAACACTTAATAACGAAGTTTTACCACAACAGAGGGAGTATGGTAATTGAAAACGAAATATTTTAATACAATTCACGAACCAATTTATGTTTACTAAAAGATGATTTGGTAAATTCGTTGCCGTATAGATGGCGAAAAATCAATGCTTCCTAAATTGCATTAATGAAGTAATGGTTCATAGCATCGGAATAAAGAAATATGAAACGAGTATGAAATTACCTATCACTTGATAACACCACGAAACAAACATCTTGCGTTATAATCTTTTATGCCTTGAAAAAGAGCGAAAACATTTTGTATGCAGTAACTATACTACTGCTAATTCCTAATACTGCACATTACGCCATTTGGTTATTTTCGTCTAAAAACAAAATAGCTATTTGTGTATTAAGAGCGCAAAATGATAAATTGTCGATTGAAAGAGACATTTGCCACACTAATCTCTTGAAATCGACAATCAATTTGCGCTCGAATTACACACAAGATTTTTTCTACAATCGAGCAGTTCACATTTCCAACCAAAATTTTACATCTTTCACTCAAATTAAAGATGTGACATCTTAGATGTCATTTACTCGTTGTCATTGGATACTCTGAGCAATGCATATTTGATTTATAGTTAATAATTGAGAGAGCGAGCGTTTTTTTTATTTTGTCGCTTAAGCAACAAAGTGACACTCCTCGAAAAAGATGACGTTTGCGTTGTCAAATAAGTACCTACTTTGGATATCGATTGTAGAAAAAGGGGTTTCGGCTAACCGCTAAGATATAGTTCTATTAATTATAAGGTAATTAGGGTCCGCTTTAGGCGTAAGCAGGGTAACCCTCCTGATACGGCGCAGACAAAAAACGGGCGCAAAAATTACTGAAATTTAATGACTGTCGGATCACTGATGTAAAACGCCGTTTTCTA